TGATGCCCGTTTTGAATTTCAATCGCAATAATTCATACACCTCTCATTTCTAAATAGGTCGCAAAGTACCATTCGATAGAGCAAAGAAAGCTCTACAAGATGGCTCTCATGCTTTTGCAACAGCTCTTATCCATCTCGAGTTTTAAGGTAAAAACTAAAAAGACTCAGCTGCCCGAAAAATTGAGAAAAATCGTAGCTCGGTCCATAAAAATCCTACAAAAATTCTTACTTGCCCACGTAATCACTATCTACATAAAACATCTACATACGCCTTTGCCGTATTTCTTCCTCTGTTAAAAATCGAGAAAACGGAAATTTTCGTGAATTTGCCAAAGTGATGCTGTGCCGTCCCCACATAGGTAGATGTATACCACAAGCCCGTAGAAGTACAGACTTAAATTTTCAGCTCTCTACAAGCTTTAGTTCTCGGGAAATTTGAATTTTAGCTTGGACCACCTAACTAGGGAAAGCTGTATTCGGTATTTCTCAAGAACTAAAGCTTGTAGAAAACTGAAAATCTACGTTTGTACTTCTACAGGTTTGTAGTATACAACTACCTATGTGAGGACAGCATCACTTTGGCAAATTCACGAAAATTTCCGTTTTCTTGATTTTTAACAGAGGAAGAAATACGGCAAAGGCGTGTACATATAGATGTTTTATGTGGATAGTGTTTACGTGGGCAAGTAAGAATTTTTGTAGGATTTTTATGGACCGAGTTACGATTTTTCTCAATTTTTCGGGCAGCTGAGTATTTTTACTTTTTACCTTAAAACTCGAGATGGATAAGAGCTGTTGCAAAAGTAAGAGAGCCATCTTGTAGAGCTTGCTTTGCTCTACCGAATGGTACTTTGCAACCTATTTAGAAATGAGAAGTGTATGAATTATTGCGGTTGAAATTCAAAACGGGCATTAATTTCCGGACAACCTTGTCCGGACAACGGACAATATTTCGAGAATTAGAATATCAGCCTTTTTACAGGTTTGGACCGTTGAGCCAACAAAAATGTCCCCGAACTGGGTAGGAACAAGGGTTGCTAAGCTACCTCAGGAGAAGTTGGAAGAACTTTGTGCCATGAATCAAGAAGAACTAGCTGTGCGTTTGATTTCAAAGATTCTATGTGGATGACAAAGTTGTTGTGTGCTTAGACGGCAGACTTCGGCTGGGGACCAAACTCCTGCTTCACTTTCCCCAAGTATGGAGGAACTGGTAACGTATGGAATTCAATGGCAAAGAAGTTGCCAAAGGATTGGTTCAGGTTCAACACTGAGGTAAATGCTTTTGCTTATCACCATTAGACCCTTCAATAAGCACTTTGGAGTATTGAGAAAACATAAAGGGCGTAATAGAAAGTTGTTTCTTAATCGTAATGTGTTAACATTTTTCATCCAATATTTATTTGCTCTAAAATCATAGCTTCTTTTATTTCCTATGAATTGCTTTCAGACAGTTATTGCCTTATTATTGCCCAACAATTATTGCCTATTTGCGTACAACCAGAGCATTCGGAGGGTCCCTGAGATATGCCTTTCTTATCCTTGTTGAATAGTTCAGGGAAGAGAACGAAATGGTGATGTAGTTTTTACCAGAATATTTCCTTTCGGAATATTCGGTAAAGTCCTAGTAAAGTTCTATTTCTATTTGCTCAGCCTTGCATTTCTTTTGATGATTTCTTTGAAGTCCTAAGGTTTTGTCGATTACTGGCATATTTGACAGATCTTCAGAGCGAAATGATCGCCCATGTTACGTCGGCAGGTGCCTGTTACCCTAATTTCTACAGAGCCCTATAGGTAGCAACTAATTTGGGAAAATTTGGCATACAAGCGTGATGAACTAGCTTTGGGCACTCGCAGTGATTCTGATTCATGATCCCGGAACTATATGAAATCATCTTTCAAAATCCAAACATGCATCTGATGCGGGCTGTAAGCGCAAATTGCATCTATGTACATGATTCATCCTGGACAAGTCGTAAATGCAGGCATTTTTCAAGATAATTACCCTTTCATGGACACTATTATCAAACCATCCCGCGCGTCAATTTTTTTTGTCTGGCAGTAGGGAGCAAACACTGACTAACTCGAAAAAGGCATTTTTTATAACGAAAAAACCGCTTGGCAGATATAGCAGCAACGCATCACTTATCTCGAATATTTATTTATTATTTACCTCAATACGCTTAGAAGCACCAATAATTCACCATAATTCCAATTAATGACAAAGCAGCTACTATAGTGTGAGCTAGCCACCATCAGTAATTGCATTCTCAGAAAGAAAGTAAAAAACATCCAATATCTCGTTTTGTTCTCGATGGCAGTACAAGTAGAAAGCATAAGGTTTCAGCTCGGATAAAAGTTCAACAAATGTGAGATAGCAAAAAATTCTCAAAGGTCAACCCAATTACACAGTTCTCAGAAAAACTACTGTTGATGAGGGATTCTTCCAAAATTGAGTCAGATAGTCAGAAAAAACTTACACTCCTTATGCGGAATATGCCAAACCTAGAGATATTGCAGGTAGTAGGAATTGATGCTGAAGCAAAACGTGTACGATATGTCAACAAAACTTCCAATGAAGTGAAAGAACTAGACTACGATATCCTGTTAAATGCTGCGCCAATTGACTTGCTCGTCAAGGAGACTAAAATTTGTCCTGAAATAAATGTGGACCATAATAAGGTTGGTACACTTTCCATTAACCTTATAGAGCTTATGAAATGGACCATCAGAATGCTCGCATGTCAAGGTTTTCATCGTTGGTGTTGGTCTCGAGAAGCCGATGACAGAATTTGTCGAAAAATTCACATGGCTCTATTTTCCCGATCCTAACGTACCATTCTTCCGCGTAACAATTCTCAGTCGATATGGCGAGGTGAGTGAACCTTTTTTCTGTACTCTATGCCATATTCCGACATATTCACGTCTGATATTTGTTATTTATTCGACTATTTGTCAGTTGACAGTGGATAATTACAGGTGACGCCGGACAGTAACAAATACTGGTCGGTCATGTGCGAATGCGCACGACCGATTGATGATCCAGTGAGTTTATTACAGAATATTACATATGAACACGAACAAAAAAGTATCGTTACTATTGAAAAAGCCAAGAGAGCCTGAGTATTGTACACATACAATTACCAGCGATTTATTTGGATGGCTGGGGTGGAGGAACGAACGCCTCAATTTGGCACCGCCTCCGCGGACTACTGGTCCCAACACGATGTACAACAGTAAGACGAAAGGACCAGCAGCCCGCAGAAGCGGCGCCTAATTGAGGCGTTCGTACCTCTACCCGGATGGCTGACGTTTGGAAAACCATTCAAAGCTATTCCCAAGCTAAAAAGCAACCATTTCATAGTCAGCAGCTGATAAGGTTGATATAGGAATGAATTCGCAGTAGGTGCCAAAATGGTCTACACTCGTTACCATTCCTCCCCTCACCCCTTCCCTCCTTTTGTGCTGCCCTACCTCAGCCCTCTAGGAGTGTATATTACTCCCATAGATCAAAATAGCTTTTTGAAAAATTCTTGTCTCCCAAATAGGTGTTTGCCAGTGGCGTACCCAGAATTTTCGTTCCGGATGGGGGCGAGAAAACGCACTCCGAAAATTTTTTTGGTATGCTTCCCAAAATTTTCGCGGCCCCATAATCCCGAAATTCCAAAAAGGGGCGTGGCTGGGGCCAAGGATCGGATTTTTAGAAAGTCTGAAAAATCATTCTGATCGATGCAATGATAAACGGTTACTTGCACATTTTTATAACTCAAATAATAAACTTTCAAAATTTCGCTGCCCATTCTTGGGGGAGGGGGGGAGGGGGAGCAACGGTGCACCACGACCACTGGTGCTTGCCCAACTAAATATCTGTTAGTTTGGAATTTATATTTGAAACAAATTTCAAACAATGGTGTATTATGATCGTGATTGTGACCAAGGAGGCGTGGAAAACTTTGAAATTTCAATCATAAAATTTGAGGTGCGATCATGCTGTCAAGCAAATATAGCTTTTTCTCAGATTACCGAAGAAGAAGTCGTAAAGCAAGCCATTGATGGTCTTGTGATCAAGAGCATGATCAAGCGTGAGGCAATCGTCTCGATATATTCCACAACCCTAGAATATGGGTATCCCATCCCCACTCCAGCTGTAAGTTATTTGTTAATTTTGAATGCTCCCAACAGTAATGTCTGTCTGATTTGACTGATGAATTTAGAAACTCTGTTCTTGGAAAAAAATTTTATATAATGCTGTTGGAAGTTTTTGCGTAGATGTGCGGAAATACAAATTTTGATTTTAGCGAGATCCAGAGTTGGCGCGAGCACATCGTGAGCTAGAAAAACACTCAATTTACTCAAGAGGTCGCTTTGGAGGATGGAAGTATGAAGTTTCAAATCAAGTAAGTTTTTCTGCACTTTGTATTATTTGCGACGAGGCAAATATAAACAAATTTTAGAAATTTATCCAATTTACTCCCTCAAAAATTGTACATTTTCAAAAATTGTACATAGTTCTATCTGTTCGGAGATCTTTCTATCTTTAATCATAATTACTACAGGATCACTGTTTCATCCAAGGGAAAGAGTTCATCGACCGAGTAATCCTAAACGAACCCGAGAAGCTCTATAAGACAGGTCTTGCTGAGAGACAAGGATAAATGCTCAGATTTTATTTATTCATTTATTTATTCAGTTTTATTTGTCTGTTGATATGTGCAATCTGAGATTTGTTCTTATAAATTGTTATTCTAAAAAAGACTCAAAGACTGAGACGAGAACAGTGACGCAAAGTATTTTATTCATTAAGAAAGAACAGAATATTTTGTACGGTACGGTTTGAATGAGGCATGAGAAATAGGGTAGAGTTTCTCGAAAGCTTAAATAGAGGTCAGAAAAAGTGCTACATGAAGGTAAAATATTGCCAAATAAGGGATACAAATAAATACAAATTACCTATAATACGCTATGAAAAGAAGCGGAAAATTTTAAGAATGTGAAGTGCAATTCTAAATGCCAGTGATATTTTGTTCGTCTTCGATTCCGGTTTCGTTTTGGCCTGCACGACTATTGCCCTTGTTTTTATGCATTACCCGAGGTTTATGGCTACTGCCAGCACGGGATACTCGCTTTACTCGAACGGCTGAAATTATAGGTATAATCGTCGGAAGTATCAAAGCCGGATGCTAGCTATGATGGTGAAAGTGCAATGCAATATGTATGTGCTATGCAAAAATGACGAGCGTATAAGCATTTTTAGATAACTGTGGTTAAGTAAGATAATAGTGGCTGGATTTGAACGGGTATTCTGCAATTGGAGCCAGTCAGGTATGACTTGATAGATTGACCATAGCTTGTAGTTTCGCATTGCTAGAGTTTATTTATTAAGGATACTCAACTGAATACCGAATTCGTCATCTACTTAATGAATTATGAAACAAAAAAGGGAAAGTTCTTGCAGGTTATAAAGTTAAACATTCCGTCATGGGTGGAGCGAGAGAAAGGACTGTTTGGAAAGTAAGCAGACATTTCTTCGTCTTTCCAGTATGTACCCATCAATTTGCATTACCTATGCAGATAAATATTACCATACGAACAACGTCAGAAATCAACTAAGAAACGCGTAAACTAAATCCGAGGGACGAAGGATCAAAAGAGGTAAAGAGCAGGTTAACAGTGAGAAGAGCTAGGACGCGACATATTTTTATGAATGGAGCTAAAAAACTAGCTATAACCGATAGTTTCAATCTCGTACAGCTCTGTAGGAGTCTTGAAAATATTCACTTCAATGAAACTGTTGGAACTTTTACTAATGAAACAACAATATCAATTCATGGCAATATGCGTAGCTTATGCGAAACAGAAAGCCAAATTTGAAATTCAGTGATCTTGATGTTTTACCTGCTGCAAAATTTTCAGAGATAACCTGGAGATGTTCGTCAAAACACGCGCCTACAAAATTTTATTCAAAGTTCTCTGACAATCACATCATCTGCATTGAATGAGATATGAAAGACCTCTATACAACTTTATCATTTGCACGCTTATTGAACGTATGGAAAGTTCTGCCTCTTTCATTTGTAATGCTGAGGTGTACTTCATTGCCGAGCACGGCAACCCCGCATGGTTAATTCACTGTAGATTACTGTAAAAGCGGTGCGTTGCAGGACTCTCGCCTCTGTCCATGGAGCTTTTGGAAGCATTTGAGGAGCTTTCAAAAGCACAGACTATATGATGCTGTGGGATGAATACTGGTAAGCGCTCGTTTGAAAGGCTATATTTGAACTTCTTTAGTTTATCTCAACTGCAGAAAAGTACACGAAATTTGAGCGTGTTTTGAGTACAAAGAATTTTTTTTTTGCAGTAAAGAACTCGACACTCGCAGAGGTTAAGGTTATCTCAAGCTGCGTATGTAAGTAATGAATACTTTCCCAAGTATACAGTTCCACTTCTGCAGACCGGATTTCACAATCAACCTGTCAAAATGGATTTATTTTGTTTGCTGTGCTACCGTAGCCTTCGCACGGCATGTATACACGATTGCATGATACGGGGAAGACTAGGCGCCGTTGCGTCCCACCAAGATAGTTGCGCATAGGAGAGACATGGTAAGGGAAATGATGGTAAGAGAAACGAAAGAGCGCTCGATCAGAGAGCTGATACGTCTGCAGTCTTTGTGTGCTACGAATCGCCTATGTAATAAAACATCTTGCTATTATTTGTATGCAAAATGCCAGAAGCAGGAAGAACTCGAGCGAATGGTCTTTTACTATACACATCTAGCGAAACGACAGAAGGACCGTTTTGCAACGCAAAATGTTCAGTTGATACTATATTTACCGGATATTCAATCCTATTAATAGTCCAGAATCTGTTCACCTCAAAAATATGCAAAACAAGGACTGAACTTGAGGAAGAATTTATAGGGTATTTAGAAAATCGTGACGATGCGACCGCGCGCGACATGCACGCGTTTCTGGCACCGCATTTTCTTGATTTTTATCTCTACATAATTGAATTAATTGCTTACGTATGGTAGTATTTAGACGTTGAAAGTGATTGAGCGGAGCGTTAAGATAATGCCTTTTTGTACGAGGTTTTATGCTTTTTGGGCGCAAAGACCGCAGTCAAATCCATCGTCACGATTTTATAAATGACCTATACAATTTTTTGATGTCATGGGCAAAATGTGTAAAATGACTGCTATTTGAAGCAGTAATAAGGCCGAGATGAAAGCCATTTTGTAAGATTTGGAGAGAACATTACAATGCCACCAAGTGAGTTATAAATTACGATGCGTTCTTCTTTCAATTTAGGATGGCAAAGTATTCCAGGAAATTAGTGCCACATAAGATATTTTTTCCGTGCATTTGTGCTTTCAGACAACACTAGTGCGCCTAATCTATATGAAGCAATATTGTACCTACTGAATCTACATGCTCTACAGCTTCGGATGCAAAATGTGGTAATTCAGATGCGTCTTCGTCTCGATGCACATGATGTACAGCGTCTAGGTCTCCAATCTTGTTGTGCTCTAAAGAGGATTTTCACAAAATAGTAGACCACCAGTTTTGAAATTTTATTTAACTCATAAGCAAAATACGCCGTTATGGATATGTGAGAAATTCCACGAGCAAAAACATAAAAAAAATCCTTTTCAAAAGATGTCGATGTTTGGTCTAAATCTCTTGCGGAACATAACATTTACACACCGTGTGCAAGGATGTGGTGGCCAATATGTCTCTTGAGTAGATTGTGACCTTCTTCTGAATGGGGCAGGCTTAGAATTACAGGGATTAAATTTTTTTATAGAATTTTTTACCTTCCTCGCTGCCGCTAGTGTCACGACGTTTTCTCTCGGCATGACCATGATATTCACCATGTTCAAGAAGAGACTTATCTTCTTCCTCTTCATCACTTTCTGTTGAGCGCCGACGCCTATTCAGCTCTTCGTCCGCATCCTCAGAATCTTCGTCAGCTGACCGTTTGTCTCTTGTTTGTATTTGATGTTTATCTGAGAGTCTGTGGCCATGACCGGCTAAATTGCTTGCAGGACTGGCAAAATGATAAGATAAAGGCCAAGATACTCACTTTTTGCGGCCCTCTTCTCTACTTTATGTTCTGCTTCTGAAATAGTTGACGTAGCTGTCGTCACCACTGTTGTCTCTTCGACATGAGTTTCAGTTTCCTATGATACTGTGGTTTTCCGAATAAAAATGCACACGAATGCTGAACATGACAGAAAATGAAGATTTGCATGCTATTTCAGAATTTGGGCTCCAAAATGTCAAAACGACTCTGCTCTTACTCGACCGTGATGGTTGTTCTCTAACTGCTTCAACTTACTTATTGTGTGGACGCTAGGTGTAAGTAGCCGGTTATACTTACAGATTGGCTAAATATCAATATCGTGCTCGTTCGCAGCAGCAACGTGTTGAATTAGAATCGCGTTATTACGGTAAGTGTACTGTACTCCTCCTGACCAATACTCCTACACTTTTGTGCTCAGTTAGCTTCCGAAAAAAGATATTACCCCAGGAAATAAATGAGATTCTCGTAAACAGATGATCATCCTACACATTCAGGCAATGCGATTTTTAGCCCATACCGCATACATACCCACCGAAACCCAAGAAACCACACTAATACGATGTTCGTAAACTTTGAATCGACAACCCCCCCCCCCTCTCCCATCAGTAGCCATATACAGCCTTCCCAGTGGCATTACAAACGGCTCAATGGCGCGCATTCAGCACGTTCTCGTAAACACTAGGAAGAGTACCCCTTCTCGAACAATTTGGCCAATTCTACGATCTTGACCTTCTACCGTAACTCTATCATGATTTGACAAGAAGACCCCACGTAATCGTGAGTAGCGTGTCCGTAACACTCAAGATCAAGTTTCAGGCAAACGGCTCCAAAATTTTGGGGCTGACGCAGCGTCACATTTCGAAAACATTAGAGTTAAGAATGGATTTATTATCGGACCAAGATCCGAGATTTTACTCACCCCCTCGCCATCGTCTTTTTCCTCATTTTCTTTCAAGGCCTCGTCCTCGCATATCTCGCCCTCTTCATGTGCTTCTTCACCTTCTTCAACAACTTCGTTTTCTACAGGATCAGTGTCTGTATCCGCCTCGGCGGCATCCTCAGCGACTTCCTTCTTTTCAAAAATTTCGGCATGCTCTTCTCCACTTTCCGTAGATATATGATTATCGTCGTGGTGGTCACCTGAGATCGTGAATTGCGGATAAGCTACTGATCCAAGGGTTTGAGATTATGAACTATGTGGTTTCGAAGAGTATTTTGATTTTCGAGGACTCCATTATCTAATTTTCAGGAGAGATTTTACTTTGCTTACATACGGTAGGTACTATGTTTTATGATCTGCCTAAAATTATAGCTAGCACAGATATTTTGCAAAAAAAAGAATTGCTCCCGTTAAAACAAAGGATTATTAAAAAATACTCCGTTGCTGTACCTTATCGGACTCAACGGACGCCGACTTTTTTCATACCATATACCTACCGTTGCCTCATAGACTACGTTATCCAACGATTCGTGATAAGAAACATTTTTTGTAGGAAATTGGAACAAGGCGGTAGAAGAGGATTTTTTCGTCAAGTTGTTCAATTTTGCTAACGTATCAAACGCTCTGGCAAGAGTGATAGTTACGGTCCTAATTTTTTTACTTACTCATTTCGCTGCTCAAAAAATTTGTTTGTGGTTACATTACACGAGAAGAAAAGTGAATCCACCCCAAATAAGATTTGTTCACTTTTTGATCAAAGTGTTCAAAATCATTTTTGCTATTCCTTTTGAATCTATGTAAAATTATGAAAAATGAGTGCCATACCACCATGTTCGGCTTCGATGGGATGGGCACGAACATAATATAATGGTGTTATCAGAAACAATAATACCAGCAGCGACTTCATCCACCTGAAAATCAAATCAGTCCAGAACCGAAGAAACATGATTTTTCACCTTTGAAAGATGATTCCCACATTTTCAAAATCTTCGCAGGAAGGGACGTTTGCATAGCGCAAAAAAATGATTTTAGCATACATAAGAGCGCCAAATAAGTATGGTATACAAAAAGTATGAAAGATGGAGAGGAGGAAAGCAAGCTACAACACTATTTTTTACTGATGAACCACAGAATGTTCCATTCTAACAGCTAAGTGAATGCTATCTCCCAGCGCAGAAATTGAAGTCGGCGGCTTAGAAATGGTGAAGAAGTAAGTTCGTTTTCTATTTGTAGACCGGAGAAAAACGAATAGAAGTGAAGTGATTTTCTAGCTGTTGCTCAAATTCGCAGCAAATCGAATTTGGCTTCCAAACAGCCAAAACAGCACAACGAAAGTGGCAACAAGATTCAAGAACGTCGAAGAGCATTTCTCATGTAGGAGAGAAAAAAAAGAGTAGAATAAATATAAGATTGATGCTTCTTGATATGATGAATATTATAATTCACAATGCAGCCTCTAACTCAGATGGAAAAATGCCTCGCCATTCATTTTCCGCCCGCTGGAAGCTCATGGAATCTTTCAAGATAAGTTTTTTGCAAACATAATAAGATTTCTAGAATGCCCACGCATAGGGATCTAGGAGGACAAAAAATTTCAAATACATTTTTCAAACTGTACTGGTGGGTGGCGGCGGATTGAAGGTGAAGAAAACGTTGGAGGAAAGTGACCTTTAATAAATAAGAATTTTTTAAAATTTTTTTCAGTCGGAGTACCAGCGAAATGAGGATTTTTAAAGTATGCAATTGCTGGAGGTGGTGTAGTTGCTTTTATACTAGGTAGTAAGCAGTTTTATTTTTACAAATAAAATAATTCAATTAAAATTCGATAGTCACAACTACATGCAGAGACATCCGATCAACTAAACAACCAAAATAAAAAAGTTTGTTCTTTTTAGATGTTTCAGCCCAAATTCAATGGCGAAATCGGAAAGAATAATTTTGAATGTTTATAATTAGCTTATACAACTGCTATATGCAAAAAAAAACGATTCCTGATTTATGCACTCCTAGAAAAACTTTATTTCTTCAATATGTACAAATCAAGTCAATTTGTTGAAGAAGGAAGAGATTTGATTTCGAAACTTTTAGTGCGAGATTATGGTCCAGAATAGAATGAGCAATGCTCAACCCGCAGGATAGTTTCACAATCATAACGCATGACCGGCTAGGCTTTTATACACAACCACGATAATCGTTGTGTGGAGGGTTACCGGAGCCTGGTAAATTGCCCCAGCCGTTAACTTTGCCGAAATCGTTGTTGTTTCCGCTCGGATGCTCGATGAACTTTATGCCCCGGTGTCGCAAAAACCACACACATCCATCGTGGATTGATGGATTTTGTCTGGTTACTTCTTGGGGAGACTGTAAAGTGCATGGTTTGGGCAAAATCTGGCATAATTTATCACATATCGAACAATTTATACAATTGTATTTTCGGAGATCTGACAGTAATAAACATTATAGGTTCAGTTTCCCGCGCAGGCAATCGAATTTGATTTGCTTTCGATTTCGAGAAAAAATCTGCTCCACGGCCGTCACTCGCTTCTTCATATCCGTAGAAAGATGCTAAAAAGAGCTGATGAACTCAAAACTTTGAGCTTTAAAACCTAGCAACTTACATTGAAAGAACTATACATATTATTCAGCTGGCTCTCAAGATCGCCAATCTGTTTTTTCATCGTACCCAACTGCTCGTCTAAGGATAACATGCCCGCAGAATGATCGGCATTTTCCATCATTTCATCAGTGAGTAGATCCCGTGATCGAAGCATTTCACGAGCTAAAGAACAGGAAGAACAGAGTGAGTACACCTTGGGCATAATTACTCTGGAATATGCCCCAACTTGGTTGAACTTACCATTGGTAACCAGAATTTGTCTATCAATCGGGTATTCTTGCAAAATTGTAGAGACATCGTCCTGATTTAGTATGTAGACATCCGAATAGCCAACGGATCGCAGCGAGACACCTCTGCGATCACCTAGCTGGTTTCCTGCTATGAGAATGACTGACATCTCGCCGAATGTAGCTCCATCAGTGAGGGTCTGAAATCGTGTTGGTCTATTATGTTCAGCTTCAAATAGCTGCAGAATACTTCATCATTAGAGTTGTCATGATCGAAAAAAGTTGGAGTTTGGCTGTCTCGAAGGAAGTGCCTGGGCACGTCTAGATTCCTAATCGAGAAGAACTTATGACATTGTTTAGCGTTAGCTCTAATGAATTATTGCGGCAAAGCCAACCCAAGAGCTACAGCTGGGACCGTATTACTCCCTAGCGTAGCGTCCTTTGAGTGGACGTAGAAAGTACGGGCCTAAAATTGGATTTTAATCTCTTGGCCCTCGAATAAGTTATCTAGGCTGCACTAGGGCAATGGCTTAGTAAATTCTTTCCAATCACGAAACACGAGCATTTGGACAGCCAAATGTGCTTTGACATCTATGCGTCTATGGAAGATAAAAGGCTCTCGAAATGAGGAAACTAAGCTTTGAATTGTCTCTATCAATAAAGTTGCAAAATAGTTTTATTTTTCTTTGAAGCATAGGTCCTACTTTCACCTATCTACGAGTTACGAACAAAGCTCAAAAATCATCAACCAGCCAAAGTATGTAGTTGCTTGCTGAATCATGACTTTCTGGAAATTCATGCGGTTTCTCCACTGCTAATTATGATGGAAAAAGGTAATCCCATCCAACTATTGGCGAAAAATACATTAAAAAGAAAAAAATGGTTGAAGAGACAGAGTAAATGCAAAAGAGTGCCTGGGGTTGATTGTTAGTCTAGATGGTATTCACTTTTCTTCCTCTCTGCTGCAATCGCGGTATATAGGATGGATCTTTTGCTTCCCAAGCAAAAGTATAAAATCATATCTTACAGCGCTTATCAAACGCAGTGTCGCTTGCGTCAGCATCCCCACTCCCGCGCTGGACTCTGCGTCTCTTCCGCGAACATGCTCTCTAATCACATCCAATCGATTGAAGCTCCGCCTTTCCCACACTCGCTCTGGGAAAGTGATCAGAGAGCATGTGCGCGGAAGAGATGCGGAGTCCAGCGCGGGAGTGGAGATGCTGACGCAAGCGACACTGAGTTTGATAAGCCCCATATAAGGACTTTATAAAATTTCTTGGCGTTTCTTAAGATGCGTGAATGAAGTTCATGTTGTAAGTATTCAAAAAAAATCGCAACTAAAGACAAAAATGGTTTTAGGAATAGGATACCCACCAAAGTCGGAGCTAGAGTGTCGGCATCAATAACTTGTAAGGTTCCACGCTTCACGATAAACATCTCCTAAAACGTGTATTTGCCTCAGAAAATCTTGAAACTTTTGATTTGAGTAATGTTGTAACCATTATATTTACTAGTACGAATAAAGTGCACATGTAAGCGAGTACCGATCAAAAGTAAAAATTTCTCAGCATACCCTTGCTCGCTCCCCAGCTCTGAAGAGGTAGTCATTCGGGTTATAAATTTGTTGCTTGATTCGTAGAACGACTTCGTACAGAAAACCAGCGCTGCACTGCTGTAATAAGAGACCATAGCTATTTTGAAAAAGCCGAATGAAATAGCATTTCTTTTCCGGTAATTCACTTCTTGATGTTTCTAAAACATTGCTAATCAGATCATTTCCCTTTGATGGGAACAATTGCCAATCAAATCATTTCCTTCCGTTGAGAACAATCTTAATTTGATTGCTGATGCTTTTGCAAAAACTACTCTAATGACTTGATGGCTGCAGTTAAGCAAGCATGATTGGAAATGCCATTCATTGAATCAAGCTAACATTTATGACTATTGGCACCATTTATGGCCAGCACATATTATTAAATCTAGGTGCAGCTTAAACAATAATTCACTTTTATAAGACTTTAGTGAATACTTGCTAATACAGATATTGGAGTGCTTCTCTAACAATATGTGTAGCAAAGTAAAAACTTTGTTCTGGCAGAATTTCAAAAAATAAAGAACGACCAATATAAAAAGACTCCAAGTAATTTCTCCTTTCTCCTTGGGACTACAATCTGAAGCCATCGTTAATGTTCTTCTCGATACTCCGTTCCTTTATTTTTGATCTCAAAATCTAGCTTTAGTCTTTTAGAAAAATACGGGTAATGTACGGGTAGTAAAATTACCAAGTATGCTCAATTTTATACAAAATCTTCAGTGTGAATACAATATTTTCGGCAAGGTTTTAGTTTTCGTCAAAATAGCCAAGACTTGGCAGTGGCTGGCCAATCAGAGCTATGCCGACTAGGTAAGCGGCCGACGCCCACTGAACAGTGATTGGCTGGTACAAAGAACCAGCCAACAACAATCTCCAATGGGCGGGGGCTCTTAATCGATGTCCATTGGGAGCGACTATTGGCTGATTTGTTGTACCAACCAATCCTAGTTAGTAAAAGTACTCATTTGGTTGTAACTGCCAATGTTTCACTAGCTGTTACCGGCTTAGAATTTATGCGGTAAGCGACCTTTTTGTCTGGTGCAAAAGCTCTTGCAACACAAATTCTGCATTATCAACTCAAAACGAATAAGTAACCTCCTGTGGTCTTTGTGAGTCATGAAGCACAATTTCAGCCTGCTTTGTGACTCCTACGAGTGAAGAAGAATCCGAATACAAACATCCGTATTATTGTCTTCAAACATTAGGCATGGAATTGATTCTAGCTACAACCGAGGTGAGCAAGAGGTCAGGAACAAGTCTTTCGAAAACGACCAGCTCCCCCCAGGAAAGCCCTCAAACGACCCTTTCTTCCTCCACTTGACCTCCGGCCTCAGAGTGTGATATTCTGGTAGACATCTTTTTCTATAGAGTTTTCACATTTTTGAGAACTGCACGCCCGATTTTTTGTGACTGCACTTTACAATCACACGTGATTTGACGGCTAATTTTGATCTGAATGGGCTATTTTGATCTGAATGGGCCTGTTGAAAGGGCCATGATTTTTTCTAGGGTTAGGGCGTTCGGCTCTTTAGTGTTTCGCTTTGAAGGTACTCTGAGTTTATTCCCCAGAAAAACTCTCACCCTTATGAAGAGTCGATCGTAATAGAAACATCCGTTTTTTCACCTACCACTTTGAGCATATTTTGTAAAACAGAAATGACTGCCAAAAAAGGGGAATATTGAAAACTTGAGATTTTGTGATTGCCGAAAAAAAGGGAAATTGGAATTTGAGATTTTCGCTGGGGCCCTACATATGAGGCGACCCTTGAAAATGATACCCTTGAAGGAACGCACATGAGTGAGGAGCTGCTCTAGAGCTACAAAAGTTATAAGTTTCATGAGATTTTTTGATAAGCGGATAAAGGGGGGGGGCAAGAAACAGTAGATTATATTTTATAATATATAAGTAGGTCGAATTAGATACTACGGAAAAACCTTCTGAAAATCCTCAACTTTGTATCGGTTCAGGTTACCGTACCCCTACATTCTTGCTGCGTTGTTGTGTTTTCCATTCGGGATGGGTGTCAGAGATTGAAGGGGTATAACATTTCTTTCCATTATGAAATTTTCCCAGTCGATTTATAAAGATGCAGGACTTATAAGCGTTCAGTAATTTTTAGCAGGAGAAAACTTTTAGATTAAGGTATTTACCCTTTGACTCCATGATTCTAGCAGATGTGTAGCCGAGCGAACAAAAACACATTACCTTAAACAGTTCCACTTTTTTCAAGGTCTCCATATGAAGGTTTACGGCAATCTGACCTTGTAATCTTGGCGGAAGGACGCATAACAATTCCTAAAAGTGCACTTTTTACTGCGGTAAAAAAAATATACAGCCCTTGGAGCAAGGACCTCAAACGTGCAGATTTTTTACCTGCTCATCGTTGAGTTGATGTTGGGAATGCATGTATGTAACACAAGAGATCACACGTTCTTGTATAGCTGGGTTCACCATTCTGTTAAGATTTCTTTTGTCAGAGAAATTGTCAATTATACCAAGGTTTTTGAACTTACCGGTACTTCATATAGAATCTGATACCATCCATTTTTTGACGAAAATCATAAACATCTTCATTCATTTGTGTAACAACGCTACCAACAGAACCAATAATTGTAGCGAAAACCAGCACTCCGATTAGTGTATCAACAACTTCAAGCATATTTTGAGGTGATGATGATGGATACGGCTGTAAAAAAGTTTTTGGATTCCTAATTACCGTAGTCCTGCATGATCTACCTGCTGCCCGCATGTAGTAATAGTAAGAGCCGACCAATATATGCTCATACTGTATTCACGTGAAAAATTTCCCATGTCCCATTTGATAAATCTAAAAAATTAGAACAATAAAAATTAAAAATTTATTGTCAAGTTCAAGCTTGAATTTGGAAACAAAATAATTGGATTCGAGACTTACTTCCCCTCCCAAAACGAATACATGTCCTGCATATATGAGGGTCGATAATCGTCTATATCCAGTAACGAGTAATTTTCTTTGTATTGACAATTTTGGTCATTGAAAACCTATAAAACAGAAATGACTGTGGAGTAATTGACCGACATGCTCACAATCTTCTATAAGAATGAAATCTTACCGAACATGTAGGAACTCGCGGATCAAACACCTTATAGTAGGAAAATCCAAAAGCATTCGTATCGTCTTCTAGAATGTTATAAGTACTTTTTTCACTGCAAACGGAGCTTTGTGATGATAAATTTTGCACTAAAATTTTTGAGAACTCAACTTTCCATAATAAATTCGTTCAGACCGCTGGACCACAAGAGATTTGTGAATTTTCTATTATCCAAAGCAAAAGGAATTTGCTGAGTTATCACGGTGTTACAAGGTGTTAGAAAGAAACATATATTTTACTCGTTGTTATTATAATTTTGTCGCTCAAATGCTAAAAGATGCAATAGAAACTGATATATGTAGATGAGATATAATGAAACTGTGCTCTGATCTTCATTTCGTCTTTCCCTTAGACTTTTGATTTTTAGACCCCCCTCCCCCCCTCCAAGACTCCTTAGTAAAGATGTAGGGACTGAAATGAATTGCAGAGAATAGTTTTCGAAGGGAAATGACAAGACTCATCTTATAACTTTTAATGTTCTGACAAATCATTTTCAAGTTTATGATTTGATTTTACGTTCTAAAGGTTATTGGCTCTGGTTTCAAGATTTTCAAGATTTACTTCTTCCGACTGAACAAAATGATGATCTATGCATTCAGGATAAGTTACAGTTTTCGATATTTTCCTCGATTTGATGACATAGTGTAAATTCCTTTTGTCGATTTGAAGGTCAAAAGCTCTTTGGTGCAACACTTATGTCCCACGTAGTGATTTGAGAAAAGTGTAATTTACCTGACAGCCCCTCAGCCAAACTGAACATGAAGTAGACGCATGCGTTCCAGTGGAAAAGAATGTAACAAGCAGTCATAAGTAGTGCAATTTTCGAAGCATGCGGAAACGATGTGCGTTTTTGATTATTGTCGATAAAGTCGTTGAGACGGTAAGCTGGAACGAAATTCACAAATTCCATTCCATTTATTCCGTTCTAAAGATTTGACTGGGAACTACAATAACAGCCCTTTCTTTAGACTCAGAATGCGTGCTATTTGATCGACTAGTTTCTGGTACGGCACTGGCAAGCCTCAGAAATTGCAAAGAAGAGACAAGCTGGTGAAAGTTATTAACTTGTGAAAGCTTTAACAGAATAACAGATAAGATATTTTACCTTTGAACAAGCGAATGGCTCGAACCATGGATAGGGTGCTATTGAAAAACAAGAAAAAGTCTGCTGGTAGCAAAGCCAGGATATCCAAGTATATTCGGAAACTGTAAATAAATAAAAATAATGTATGCAACAGTCTTCTGAATGGATTTCTAAAGTTCTTTGGAAAATTTGGTACCATCAGACGCAACATTTTGTTGAAAGAGTTGCACACTCTTTTGTAATTCAAAAAAAAAATTTGTTATAAATTACAAAATTTCAGTTGGTATAATATTTCAGAATGAACGTAAAATGCCTGAACTAAGCAAGAAAGATTATTTGACAGAATTTGCTTATGATTGGATGGCTTGAATTTTGTATAAATGAAGTTTTACCTCCTATAGTAGTTTCTCAAAGTCATCTTTACATTCTTTACTTCGCTTCCATCCCATGTGTAGGCTAAAGGGAAAAATTAGAAATTTGATTAAACCCTATGAATTCTGACTTACTTGTCCGTGATTGCACAAGGATATCGAGAAAGAATACACAATCAAAGAAAATATTCATGTAAAGCCATTGCTTGAAGAAGAATAGGTAAACATCATCAAATATGAATATCACCATAGCCAACATATTGTAGAGTAAGCCGAGAGAAACCAAGCAGGCCCAATAGTAACAAAAATGACCTGTTGGTGACACATAGAAGTACAGTATGCGCCTATAAACATATATTTGAAAAAGAGCCAACATATATACTCCAAAAATCCAATAAGAAGTAAAATAAATTAAGTAAAGCTCAGATAAAACGATAAAGCACTGAATAAAAAAGAAAGCGAAAAAACGGCGCTACAGTGTTTTTTATAGCCTTGTTTACCGATTTCTGTTTACAACAAATATTTGTGTTCTACACTTCCTCTAGAACGCAAATTAAATGACATAAAACTTTCTATTGAAGCGCTATGTGAGTATAAGTGAAATTGTTGCTGTCCAACCTGCTCCATTCCGCAGCTTTAATTCTGAATATCTGCCAGCATGTGGTTTCGTCTTCGAAAATCTCCTCGGATGTGGTGAGAATAGGCATGTGGTCAGAGCGCGCGGCCTGAAAGCAAGCATGATAAACAATATCAAACAGTCGTAGATCAAATCATGTTTCTGGGGGCGAAAGGGGGAAGAGATTTCTTGATAGCTAAACTTGTGTGTATCAGGGACACAAGAAGAGTTCAGCTGCAGCACATAGAGCTTATTCACACCTTCGAATACAGAAAATTGCAAAAGTTGCTCGTCAAATTTCAGTTTCTTAAGCGAAACTCAAATTTATCCGAATCTCTTTGGCATGTACAAGGGCAGACGTGTGATTAGGTTTCGTAATTATGTACTACAGAATCAGTTGTGCCTGACAAAGAGAAGCTGAAGGGCGGTGCTTGCTATTTTTCAATATGAATTATTCTTTTCTTTATCTCTGATTGCAAACTCTGAAAAGCTAGATTGAGTAAAAGTGTGTTTATTCAACAACTAAGTTTGAATACATTTTTCGAATTTTTGCTTAAACTTCAGATGAACCATGACTTATCCAGTTTTTCTCCACCATTTCGGTATGCCCAACCAAAGTCCAGGGAAAAAAAAATCGCGACAATAAGCGTTAAAAGAATGCTGATAAATAAAAAACTGTTTCTTACCGGTTCGAATACCATTGATTCGTTCAAATTCGAAGTCTGATCATCGTCATTATCTTGCTCCGACATCATCCACTTGCGGACGAGCTTAATCAACAAATAATGATATTTAGACAAATGGGATTAGGAGTTGGGAGAAGCAGCGAGAAAATGCTCATGAGCATTTTGAAAAGCAGTCCTTTAATAAAAGTAATTTCAAGAGGAGAGGCTCTGTTGTTGGCAGACAAGTATTCGTAAGACTTTGTTTGAATCATCTCATTTCGCTTTAGAAAAAAAGTCATATGTATATCACCATGCACCTCCCGCCAAGGCTTAGGGTTGAAAAATTCCAAAAAGCTGTTCTCAAGATTCTTTGCATTGAGGAGCGCATGATTAAGTGTTAGAGATGAAAATAATGCTCACATAATAGGTAATGATGAATAAAAGACCAGGAGGAAAAAGTAGAAAGATGCGAAGATATTTGTTGCTCTCCATTTTTAAATTCCTCTATGTGCATATTTTTGGGAGAGTAAAAAACGTTTTTGAATTGTGATTATGCTCAGCATTGATCAAAAATTAACTTATGATCAAATTGGGACAAAAAAAATTATTTGCTTCCGAAGAGGCAAAAAAATGCTTTAGCATAGCGAGCTAAGTAATTAGGTAAAAAGCGTTCTCAAGAACTCGGATCGTCTAACGCTGAGCAGCATAGCCGCTGTCGGATTATGTAAGGGGCACACAAGCACGAATCGATTGTGGAAATCCTTCATCTACAGCCCTGATTTGTGTGATTATCGTTAACACCCCAGAGACATCATCAGTGTTCATTTGTTTGTTGCTCGTAACTATGAAGACCATCAATCGTCTAGGTAGCAAACTTTATCAAGCGGAAGAGCGTGGGCACCTAACAAATGAGGATTTATGAGGATTCTGGGGAGATTCAATCAAAATAATTTTGTGGATTTCCTGGAGTTGCTGTTATCCAAATATTATGTTCAGTTTCCTTTGATTTTGGCTATTCCCATTCAATAAAACACTCAATATCATACTACAAAAAGAGTCTTCTTTTTTAAAATACTGCTCAAAGGAAAAACTAGGGTGCCCTTTTTATGACATGCTTGAAAAAGAGAAACATCAAATTGTTTTGTACTTTTAGTCCCAAAGGTCAAAAGCTTCAAAAACATTTCATTCGAGTCCTGGTTAAGACTTCAAGGCCCATTTGTTCCAATTTAGAGATATTATATTAGTAAGATATTTCTACAAGTAGTTATGATTTTATTCTCGAGTTTCTTATTCGGCATTTTGATTTATCCGAAGTTCTTTAGTATGTAAGATGAGAACACAGTTTTTAGTGTAAGACAGGAAAAATGCTCTAAAAGCTCATAATTTTAATGCAGGATTTATCAACATACTCAATATCTTTTCTCAATAATGTATACCTACTTACCATAGCAGTTTTGACGACATTCACAAACGACGTTTTATGGGATAGATTTGGTTCTTGGCGCCTTGAACGGCCCGATTCGGGCTCGGTCACATTTACGTCAATACGTGAAGATGTATGCTTTAGGATGCCACGAGGTTTGTCGTTAATAGCCTGAACTCGATATTTTTTGGATTTCAACTACCCTAGATAAAACATCCTCACTGCCGTTTCAGTCTTCTCTCCATCTGCATGGAAAGGGCGAACCAGAATGGTGTTTGGAGCTGTTGGAACAGTGCCAACATTGGGCGGATTATGACCTGAATTGGATGAGCAATCTCAAGTTTTGTTGTGTTCGAAATGCTAGAAAAGCTCTATTTTCCGAAGGAAAAAACGAAAAAATGTGGCAACAGTTCTCGTTTTGCCCCTCAAATTTTCAGCCGTTTCGGTTGGTCAGAGTAGTCACTGGCGAAAAGAGGTAATTCAGAAAGAACAGTTTACTATTTCCAGTCTTATTAGCTACTACAGAAGTAGATGCAAGTGATTGAAGCAAAATATGATGTTTTAAAAATTAGAATCGCAGGTCATGCGATATAGCTTTTCTTGAGAAATGAACTAGAATTTTGATCTACAACACTCCTTTTACACTAGCTGGCAATCTCGGCTCCTCTCGGCTCTGCCAATATATTTTTTGTAGTCAGCCTCCCAGCCTCGTAGGTGAAATTTTGCAAAAAAATCGATAAAAACGACATCGAGCAATGAAGAAAAGAAGCTTAAGAAATTGCCTTGCCCCAAAGTATATGTGTGCCAAGTTTGGTCCGGATCGGGTCAAAAATAAAAGTTTCTATCCGGAACATACCTACGACACACATACAGATAAACAGACATTCAGCTTTATTCAAACAAATTCATAAATTATTTGTTTTGTTTTGTACTATTCAGGTTATCAAACATGGAAGTTACTCACCGTCTCGACTGTGCTCTGAAGAGTTACTCGAAGTCGACGACATCTTAACCTCTGGAGCTTATATAGCTATCTAGCGGTCACTGCAAGTGCCACTGAATGAATTAGTCGCCCATCTGAAAACTCTCATTTCTAGACGTTTTTACATTTTGTAAAGGCTTCGCAGTGAAACGAATGTTTATAACCTTCTAAGCTTCGCATGAAAATCGATGTAATGCGGGCTGCTTATCTCTTATTATTAAGGAGAGTAATATAACCGAGAGTAAGACCTGAATCTTCGTGCTCCTTTCTAAGGGCATCTCAAAAGTTGTATCGTATGTTTGAAACTGTTTAACACTCTGTTGTCATAACGTTCTTGGAAAACCTTCAAAAACCATTTGAAGCTGGCTTCAACTTAGATTTTCAGTATAGAACGAATCACCGATCGTTCTTCGTTAGCGTAGGATTACGGAAAGAACTTTAAAGAGGATTTGAACCATGGAGGGTCATATTTTGCCTCGGAAAAGATACGAGACGACCTGAAGACTTTCACACTAGGCTAATTAGAGTCGTTGACTTGGATTATGAAGTTTGCATCTTATCTTCGTTAACACGTTGACAGAACGTGCGTTTTTAGTTGTCGCCTTGTAGGACAATGCCTCCCACGGATAAGTTGAAAATTTCTAGCTAAAAATCGTCATCTATACTATACCTGCACAAGTTTCAGAAAACAGCCAAGAAACGTCAAAGTATCCTCTACGGTCAGAGCGTAAAATACCTCATGATGTACCCAATACTTGCAATCACTATATGGTTCAAGTACCACCATATGGGTCACACTGCTCCATCTGGCAGTCATTGCATGACCCACCATGTGGGTCACGTTGTCGTCAATATTTTAAAAAGTTATGCCACGTGAACACTAGCAGCCGTTTTTTGATGTTTAACTTGGCTACACTGTTTAGAAAGATTCATAATCTTGATAAATTTCAGTATTTAACGCGTCCATGAAAACCTTTTACAGCCTCTAACAAACTTCAAGTTCGGTTTCACTTCTTTTGAAAATATTCAAAACGGCTGCTTTTTCACAGTGACCCATATGCCGAAATTCCTACCGTAATCTTACATTAATGAAAAGTGATCGATGATTCGTCTATATAATAAATCTAAGCTGAAGCCAATCTTACAGAATGGTACTAAAATTTTCCCAAAGACTTCATGGCAATGGAGTTATCAACGATCAAAGTTCGATATGTCTTTTTGGGACACCCTGTATGTCATCGTTTGACAATTTTGAATTCGATATGATTTTTTCGCATGAAAAATGCATAGTTTAGCCCTTGGTATACACCAAGCTGGTACCACTACGTTATATAACTGTTTATAGATAGAAGCGGAGCAGCCGCCGACTACCAATAGTGAATATGCGGAACATCCGCTGACGATACTGGTAATATTCGAACCAACACCAGAACTGAGTTTTCAGGCCCTTTTATGCCACTATTTTGGGCGTGGATAACCTGAATGCTCACTTCTGGTAAACAGTAGTATCATACAGCATGAAGGATTGCCTACATGGAAGTAGGCGCCGCCAAGTAGACTATCAAGCACAGTTGAGGGGTGACCTGGCGGCTTAAGTGGTCAGTGAACAGTAACGTCTGTCAACGACAAGCTATTAGATATTGAATATGACAAACACGGTAGATCTACAATGCTAAAGGTTGTAGACGAGCCCGGCTTGGAATTTTATTTCAATTGTGGTCGCGTTCACAGTATACCCATGTAGACCACACTAGAGAGGCTCTATTCAAGTGCCAGTATCATGAACAACAAGATAATGGGGAAATAGCAGCCGAATCAAGTCAAAATATATTTGAGCAGATTTGAGGAATCATTCAGAATTGAAGTGCGTTAGATTTTCAGTACTTTGAGGAGGCATTCCTTATTTCAAGAGGAACGAGTGGAGTAGTGGTATGAGGCGCCGCTATGACCACGTCGGACTCAGGTTCGATTGTGCCCCCTGGGCCAAGCAAGCCCTCTACCCTCCGAGGCCGGTGAATTGGTATCAGAGTAATCTGGGAGAATAAATGCACTGACTTAGAAATCTGACTTAATAATCGGTTGGCCTTTGTCACTGTAATAGGTCCGCAAGCATTCAGTAGTCTCTTCGAACACGAAGTCGAGCGCGTTTGGCGCATGATCGCAGAGGGTATTGAAGAGCCGAATCCTTTATCCTTTATTTATGCGCAAGGTGCAGTAAAACTACTCGAAATTACAGTCAAAGATCGAGAAGCACAAATCTAAAAACTGTTATGACCAGCGGAATCTCATATAAATGTGCAAAAATGGATAATGCAAAACGTTCCCCCTCAAAAATATACTGCTTGAAGGCGGCTCTTTGCCACTTGACATAATTGAGTCTCTCTTTCGTCTTCAGATAAGATCTCAAAACTATTCTGAATTCAGGGCTAATAGAAGTGTTTGGTCACACATTGATAACCAATCTCATGTAGAAACTTGAAGTTAATGGAACGGAATTTTTGCGGTTATAGTGCATATCATTTCAAGGGCGCATCAAATTGATTAGCAACATGATTGATATTTAGTGATACAGTGTGGCATGTTGTAAGCTTGTCCAAGGGTTTATGTTTGTGTAAGCTCGAATACGTAGATTAACTGACAAACAAAATGATTGTTTGCGATAAGGTGTGAACCACTACCGTACTCTGATCTCAAATCTATCACTCTCTATGAAGCTTGTTCATGCCTGTGAATCCGCAAAGTGCAAATTAGAGACAGTCCAAACCTTCTATCCGCTGCTTGTACTGGAGCAAGCGCACTCCTACAAAGTGATTATAATGTGCTTGTAGATTAAAATAGCTTCATCCAAAACGGATAGGCATTCAGCAAAGAGGAGATTGGAGTGCAGCATGTATCATTAACTTTGGCAATGTAGACCCACGTTCAGAATGGTCATTTGGTCCATAAATATTTTGACTGCCAGCACAAACAGATGGTATCCTAGGGCAACTCAAACATTTTCTCGGGGGTGCCGCGGTTGTCTGGATAATCAATCATTTATGCCGCGAGTTTTCCGGTAAACCGACACTGGACCCTACAAATGACCACCGGCGCATATAGCAGTGCCCGTTAAGCGCCTATGGGCATTGGCCAGATTAGCATGGTTATAAAACTTAGGAAGGAGGAGCGGATGGATCTTTTAGCCTTTTTACATTCGCGGCAAAAGATACATGGGCCGCGACGTGTCAGACTGAAACAATTGCCCGCGGTTCGTCAAGCGAAGATTTTGGTGCCGCGGCGCGCCACGCAACACGCTTAGAGGTCGCGAACTTTCCGACAATTGTCTGAGATTAGATACTTTCAAAAAAAGAGGAGATGGGAAGGGACAGGTGGGGGCCTGCGAAGTACACAACTGGACTGCGCCAAGAGTACGCACGTGCCAACGCTGAGCTAGCTCTATGCCAGCTTTGTCGCTAATCAACACGAGACGCGTCCGCTTTGGCGCTGACACGGCGCTGACACCCGGCCGCCTTGGCACAGTGCCATTCAAACCAAATCTGCGCTTTTATGCGGATAGCGATGGAGGCTTTGACAACCGTTGGTTAAGTTTGACTCATTATGCGATGAATGCGGCTTCTATATCGAAATCCATCCGTACTCGTTGTGCAAGAACTTCTTCACATATTGCACATCCGAATAGAAGATGTAAGCAAGACTTTCCAATAAAACTGAAGAATATAGGTGTTCGTTGAAAGAAGGGGTGCAGACACTGTAAGCCGCAGGATCGTGTATGTTGTATTCGCGTCTACACCTCTCCTGCTGGGAGCATTGCCGAGTATATATGACGCCTTGTTTGATCTTTTTTTCGCAGTAATTTGTGTTGTGCTTGGCTATATTTCCAGCGAGCGTTCGCGGAGGAGTTCATTCTTGAAATGCTGAGCACTGAATGATGTTTATATTGCGCGCTGTAAGCGCTAAAGGTGGCTAGAGGCCTAAGATGGTCATTAATACCTGAACGAAGAGAAGTTGTACGTTGTCCTCTACGGACTTGACGGCTTGCGGCCGAGCTTGGTGGAAAACCCGAAGAAGGTCAATGAAGAGTGGGCCTTTGTGGCAACGGTGACAAACAACGGCACTGGTCCAGTGTCTAGGTTTCATAGCAGGTTTAGCAAACTTTTTGTTAGCTTCTGATTTGTATGCTCACTTTTGAGTGCGCCTTTGTGAAATACTGGCGTGTTATATGTAGTGGAGAGACTGAGAAAAAAACCGAAGGGGTGTTCGGTAGTATTGAGCGATTAGAGTCCCGTGCATACATCACGCGACTCCAGTCACCATGCGATCTGGCAAATTGCCAGATGTCTTCCAACCAAACATTGGCAGACTAGCATGCACGACTTTTGTATTATCTATCCCTATTTTCCATACGTTCACCGTGCGCGTAGAATGAGTTTTATACAATTACAGTGTTACCAAATCTCATTGGGACTGAGATCACATGAAGTATGCCGGGGTCTAACGATAAGAGCCGTGGGCTTGGAGTTCTGGTGTGAGGTACATCAGGAGTGTTAAGCCCGCCGAGCAGCAACAAATCCAATCCTGCGTCATACCACATCAAGTAGTGACAGGACCCACAAGGGCCAAAAGCTTATTACTTATTATTGTCAGCACGGAGAATTTCTCAACTACAATCGTCCTTTTTCTCAAAGTGCATCAGCTCAGAGGATACGGTCACCTTCTCTCTATGGCATTCGAACTCTCATAGCGAAACACCTCATTAGCATCACACACACAACGAAGGTCGAAATCATAGAATTGCCTCCAAACGCGGCTAGATAAGGGAAGAACGAGTTTGAAATCGCATAAAATTTTTTTGCACTGATGTTCCGCATGGGGTTTTAGCTGACAACAATGCTCAGCATACGAGAGGAGACGGAACGAGCTGCCATTGCGCGCTAGGTCCCTGTTAGCACTTTCTCCTGTCAAAATCTTATCTTCAGCTATAGTAGGTTACACTCATTGGAGTTTACGTTTATCACGTTGGTTTGATGAGAAGTGTTCCACTAGATTTCGGATACTGGAATTTTCAAAGCAAAAAGATTCTTCGTCAAGTGATAGCTTATGATTCTTAGTTCAGGGGGTAGTTTCGTATTGGTTATGCTTACGTTTACTACCTTAGAATTGTCGGTTTTTAAGAATTTACTTTTTAGTCTCTAGTAAAACAAATCTTTTCTCCTGAATGAACCCGAGTACTTTGCCTATCACTTCTTTTAAACCTGACCATAATCTTTTTTGAAGATGGTATGTCAGCTTTGCTTTTCTTGGAACTTAATGGAGTCGTTAGTCTCAATGCGTGCAATTTTATTTCCTTTCCATGGTGTAATTAGCAGGAAGAGTTATCGCTATTGTTCACCAGAGTTTGTTCACAAGCATTTCTTCAAAACGTTCTCGCTACTGTTGAATGTTTGGAGATAGCTTATTGACCTAATGTTTTTTCGTAGAATTTATAAGCATGTTTTTCGTTTGTTAAGAGAAAAAGAACATTTTTAACCCAAAATTCCGAAGGCTTGGAACATTGCCAGTAAACCAGCTACAAATCGTTCGTCAAATATAGTCTTTTTTCAGAAATTTATGACCAAAATATTTCGTTCGTCCACATAATCTAAAAGCTAAGCTATCACTTATAGCCATTTGAAAAATGAAAAGCCAAGAATTATTTTGAAAAGTTTTATAAGCATCCCACTTTTCCAAACTCAAGAAGAAGTGGCACCTCAAATGACATCCATTACATCCATACCCATCCAAATTCTTATTTCTCAAACACCCATTCATAAGAATTTTACATTGTCATGACCGCATCATCAAATTTTCTTTATATCCTTGTTCTTTTTGTTTTTTCCTTGCTTTTTTTGCAATCGAATAAAACGACAAATTGATAGTGAAAAACCTGTTCCTTTTCTTATGAGCCAAAAAAGTGAAAGTGAGCGACTTGGCGCGTTTTTCTTGCCTTTGCTTTTTCCACTGCAAAAGCTGGCTACATCAATGATAGTAACGACATTGAGATCGTTAAATACGGTCGTTTCCCCAACTTTTGAAGGCATTGATATGCCTCTATAAAGATAGGTTACTCACTTTTCCTGTCATATATCATTACATAGAGACATTTAGTTTTCTCTTGAGAAGACTGGCGAATTTTGTTACCAAATTTTTCTTTTGCGCAGAAATTGCAAAACTTTTTTTGCTATGCTTTTCCGGATTTTTCCAGAACTAGAACTTGACTACTTCAGCCAACTTGAACGAGTACATTAGCCACACCTACGAACGTGCAAAAATAATTCAAAAACCGTTCAAAAAATGTTGAAGTATAGCTTGCTTTAATCCGAAATGTTTTCATCACAACCCAAGCTTTCAGGTCTCGCAACCTAATGAATGAGTGGAACAAAGATATAAATCTTAGTTTTTATTACCAGTATCGGAACCTAGTAGTACATATATCATGCTCTATTAGTAAGAAATTGAGACTGATATACTTTTTTTGCGCTGCAACAAAATGAACTTTATCTCGTACAATGTTTTCGCTATAAAAATGTATGATAGCGAACATTTGCTAGGCTAGTTACGGCTTCCTGTTAAGATTTTCTATCTTGAGATTTCATTTGGAAAATTCCTTTATTACTTATTTTGAATTTTTTTCCTTTATTACTTATTTTGAATTTTGAATAATTAGCCAATTCCTTGCGCACATAATCAAAAGTCTTCCCCCACTTTAGCACTGCTTGCGCTAAATTTATCCATGTAGGAACACAGGCAAATCTTTATAGTCATTATTTTTCGCTCAAATTCCCTTGAATCAATACGTTTTAGACTATTTTAGGGCTACTTGTGTTATTTTACATATTTTCTAGTTCAAAGCCACTTTTAAATTCAACCAAAAGACATACCATGTTACATACCACGTTCACATGAAGTACCTTTTTTATTCCAGGAAATTTTTTCATAGATCTTATGAGGACTATCCCCTTGCCACGTGTCGAGATGAAAAGTAACACGTTTAGGCTTAGGTTGACATGTTTTTTCATAATTCCGGTGAAGTACGAGAGCATTTGAAATGACTCGAAAGCCGTTCAGCGGTTTTTTTTAGTAAAAGTAAAATAGTCCCGGACATTTTTGAAGGCATTTTGATCGCTTTCAGCACTTTGAAAATATCTTCCTCTCAAAATCAAGTGCGACCTGCGAATTTGGACAGGAAAGAATATAAATGCCAGCTTGGAATACCTGGCTGCCGCTTATTTCGTAGCTTATATGATGGAAACTGTTGATTGAATCATCTCTATTAATTCAAAAAAACAGATTTGAAGTTACATTAAAAGGTAGGATAAACAGACTTTTGGTAAAACTTGTTGAACATGTATGTAACATGCCAATTTATTTCGATACATGGCGGGAGCTTGACACTTCTTCCTGTGAAGTTATGGCCAAATGTGATACAAGAAAAGAAGCAATGTTCTTCTTAGGAAAAATGAGTCCGGATTACGGGAAAGTTCCAAAAAATTTGCTAGCCACGACTTCATAGCTCTTAATCTACGTCTATTAGAAGCTTTGCATGAATTAAAATCTATCAATCAAATTTGCAAACTTTGATCGACAGCTGATTGCGAAATTCAAGGTAAAAACTCCATTCCAGCTTCCAGCTACAAAGCGTAATATGCTTTGATTTTCCGCTGTAAAGAATATGGTTTTCTCCGGCTATTCTAGTCAAAAACCCACAAAATTGTGAAGATCGAAAGAAGTTGCAGATTCCGGATCTATATTAAAGTTTGTAGGTGTAAAACCATGGATCTGTTTTCCTAGTCTGTTCGAATCTTTAGACTACTCATGGTTGCCTCGTTTTATGATAATGCGCAAATCAAGATCTTTTGTTTTTTTATTCTGTTATTATTAGTGATAAATAATTCCAGCATCATTATCTCAGTAGAAGATGGACTTCTATCGTTCTTGATCTTCGCGAGGTAATGACAGTAAACAGCTGCTTTGAGCTGAATAAGTTCATAAAGACGCTGCGTCAGGGCTTGCGGAATGGAAGGGGGTGGCGCGAGCGGCTAATCGCTGCTTTTGTCGAGAAGGACACTGAATAGAACCCCAACCTCTTAGCGATGACTTTTTAACCAGCGCTTGCACTACTTCTACCTCTTTCCTCAAAAATGAGGTAAAATCATTTATAGCATCAGTAATGTGAAGCACAACTGTGGACTGCGCACATCTGAAAGTTTTTGTGGACTTAAAAATCTAAAGTGTGCTAAAATGCTTCCAGGTTTTGTTTTCAAAACCATTGACACTATGCACGATCAAACCTGGAATGCAAGACTCACGAGGCAGCAACACTACCACTACACACCACTCAGTAGACGAGGTCCACCCACTTAGTATGCAGAACCCTAAAAAATTCCTTATAACTTCATTTCCAATAAGTTGAAAAAGTCATGAAAGCAGCATTTCAATCTTGTTTTTACGATACATTCAAAGTACTCATCAAGTTTAAAATTTCTTACATACATTCGATTCATAGAACTTCTTTTGAACTGCATCAGGCTGACACCATCCATGATTTCGCAGTAATTACCTTTTTTACCAAATCAGTTAATAAATTCAAGCTTTCGCAGTCTTTTCTTGCAGTTAATGGTCACAGAACTTTTACTTTTGTATGGGAGTTAGCCATAGCAGTAACCTCGACTTGCTCATAGCGAAAAACGAGGAATCTCTCAATTTCGTCGAATTCAACAAGGTCATAACGCTGTTTACGGTATTATTAGCCCTCAATGCATGCGTCTGGATTTTTTTTTCAAACAAGTGATTCATTCGGCCTTCGGTGAGACAAAGTAAGCGCGCAGTGATGGAAATGCAATGGGTTTCACTATCAAATGTATTTGGTGTGACCATACGATCCCCCTGCGTAAAACTTGCACTTTTCCGAATGTTTGTCGAATCAGCCGGGAAGCTTACGAAAACACTGAAACCATGGCGTGAATATAAGGGAAATCCCTCTGCTTTCAGCGGTACGTGCATGGATACGGAAAAGCAACGGGTGATAGTGTATAGATGTTTGCTTTATGCTGCGATTGCCTACTCAGTAATTCCAATTCTGTCGATATGCGTCAATATACCGATGATGTTTCACTATCTTCGGGACGTTAGGGAAGTGGTTGAAAATGACATCAAGTACTGCAAGGTAACCATTTATCTCACTGAAGGTTCAATTTTTGATTTACGTTTTTTTAGATTTCCGTCAGAGAAATACGATCGGAAGCAATTCGCATCAAAACCCTTCCCCACTTGAATAGCACCAGACACAGAAGAGATATTAATCCATGTACCAGCTGCTGTAGACCAGGAGAGCCTGGACCACCAGGTCCACCGGGAAGAAAAGGTCGCCCAGGGATCCCCGGCATTCCCGGAATGCCAGGAGCACCCGGAAGACCCAGCAGCCCCTCTTGTGATCCATTTACACCACCTCCTTGTGCATGTCCTCCGGGACAACCAGGCCCACCAGGGCCAATGGGTCCACCTGGCCCTCCAGGGCCTCCCGGCAGGCCGGGTACTATAGCCGCCTCTCTTGTGAGGGGGCCTCCAGGGCCTAAAGGGCCTCCTGGACCACCTGGGGCAGCAGGACCGTGCGGTGAAGCTGGAAAACCTGGAGATCCTGGCCCGATAGAAATACAACCTGGCCCGCCGGGACCGCCAGGGCCACCAGGTCCTGCGGGTCCACCTGGACCAGACGGACTCCCAGGATCACTACTAGCTTCTGGTAAATATTTGCTTCTTTTACGATCCAGTTGCTACTGCAAAAAGAAAAATTTCAGGACCACCAGGACCAAAAGGACCGCGTGGACCACCAGGCCCTCCGGGACCTCCAGGAAATCCCGGTCCGGAGGGTCCACCTGGAGCAGCTGGCGGTAGTGGTAATCTTGGCATTTGTCCAAAATATTGTGCAGTGGATGGTGGGATATTCTTCGAAGATGGAACTCGACGTTAAGAAGCATTTCACTTGCACAATATCATCACTCTTATGTAGGCGCGTAAGCAGACGAAGTCCAGACAAAGTGTAGACTAAGCACGTACTGTCAGATCTAATTTGAGGTTAGATCAGTCTCCTGCTCAAACTACTATGTTCTCTAAATTTTAGAGTATTTTCACCAGTATATGAACTTTATGTTATTTTCACAGGTGTCACGGTTAGCGGCTAGGCTCTCTATCTCCTTCATTTACAACAACAATCTCATTCATGTGAATATAAGCATACGCTCTCAAGTTACCAGCTTTCTTTTCTGTGGATTCGGTAATGGCAACTTGAATAAATGCTCCAAAATGTTTACGAAATCGTAGTCAAGTCCCAAAATATGCTGTAGTACTGCCGGTAGCAAGGAAGTTAGAGTGATTATCAATCCAAATAAATGAAACTGTTCGGGAACAAAGAACAAAAAATGCTCGTATCCAGATAGGTTACGTAATCATTTTCTAATCGACACTACATGATTTTTCTGGCCAAAAATACTCTGAAATAGAGATTGGAATTTTACTACGCAAGGTTGCCTACGAGTACTCTCTCAATTCGTCGCAAGTGGATGATGATTTATGAATATGCACCCCAATATTTAGCTCTTTACTGCTTCACGGGAAAGTTCTATTCCTTATCAAAATACAGTGAGCCATATTTATGGCCCCTATTCTCAAATTATCATCGAGTTTTGCAAGATTATTTCGACGCCATCCTACATAGGGCTACTTATAGTATTGCCGTCAGGTTAGGTAGCAAAAATACAATGCTTCTCCAGGGTTCGTCGAAAGTAATCTCCTTACCTCTAGAGTCTACTTCGATGAAAAGCCTCCAAGCTCGTATGAGCTCTGAGAAAAAAAGAGAATTTTGCGAAAACATCAACACCAAAATGACTGTTTTCGCATTTTTTCTACAAGTCACAGCTTCACACCTAACTTATGACATACCGCTTACTGTGGCCATTTGAAATTTTATCGATGTTTAAGCTGAAAATAAAGAGAAACAGTACCAAAAAATTATGTTATGAATGAATAACGACTAAAGAGTAGGCATATGTGCGATATGAACATTGTGCAGTGCTGAAAGTGAACATAATGGTTCAGGTAATGAGGGATGAAGCATGTCGCTAAGCAACTATTCTTTGTAATCTGCCTCGGTACATCCATTAGTGAAAATAGTAAAAGTGCATACGGAGATTCCGACTGAGTAAAAAAAGCGAGGAAAGCTGAGGAGGTTCAAGCTCCTACAATAATCGTAAGATGAGTCATACTTACACTAGAATTATGACGATTTCATCGGGAAGAAAAAAAAATTGCAAATGAAAAGAGCCCCACGAGTTATCAATCATCCTATTACTACTGAAATACCTGAAATACTAAAATGACAGATCACCACCAACAAATGTAGAGTAATTAAGGCGAAATCGCAACATAGTAGAACTGTAACGGAGCAGATTTGTCATTGAAATGTTCAGATATTTGGGGGTAGAGTGAGCAGTTCCGCGTCCACTTGTCTCGCGTTTTTTACAGATTCCAATTTCTACCGCAAAAAAAACTTCCACCCTATATTCCGCAAAAAAGCAAATCTGTAGAACTAAGTGAGTTAACAGCATCAGCTTTTCTAATGTTCTCACGGATCCTTTTCGCCTTTAGGATGTGTTGGGCAAGCAGCAGAAGTTTCACGGGTACTACTGATTGCAACGTTTTATTATCCCACGAGTGCCCGGGCACAATTTTGGTGGTACTCGAAAAGTGATTGGGTAAATACAGAGAAAAGCTTTTCTACCAGCTCCTTGGAGATAGAACCCAACAGAAGCGAAGGCAAACAAAATACAAAACATCAAATCGGTTATTCTGACATTAGGGAGAAAAGGATTCGACGCTTTGCTTTTCTCCAAAAGAGTCAAAACTAATCGCAAGCACGAAATGTGGATGAGTTCTGAAACATAAAATGACTCAAGTCCCGCGTTTCATTCTCGTGCCAGGACCTTCATGACTCTTTAGACTAACGAACTCTCTTCCCATTGACGTAATCGAGAGGCACAAACCTACTTTCAGTGCAGTCTTTTTCAACCGGGAGTAGGCGAAACATTTCAAGTGGAGCAGCGCGTCCGCATCGCCATTGGCTCTGCGAGATAGATTAGAATGAAGAGACGCAAAGTGCAGAGCGGCGCTAACCGTTGCGAAGCGGACTCCCGCCATCCACTTTTCGCCTAAATTGAGTTGAAGCTTACTATAGTTTAGCCCCGCGTCATCGGTTTAGCCTTGGAGCACGGCAGTCAGTCGGCAGACTTCGCGCAAACACGCTTGCGTGCAAAAAATGCTTCTGCGCAAAGTGGCAGCCTACAAATACATAAAAACTTCCTGGGCTAGCGTGATTGCTTTGATCGATGACTTAAAAGCATTCAAATGCTGTTTTCTGCAGCTGCCTAACTCCTTTTTGAGAGCTTTTTATTTGAAACAGAAGCGGCGATGAAGAAACAGAAACACTTCGTATCCCATATTTGCGCATTACACTTGTTCAGCCTCCGTTAGGATACTTGATGTTCTCTTTAGGAAGGATACCGGCGAAGGGTGGCAGTTTTTTACAGCTGAAGAGCTTAAAAAACTGTGTTCAGCGTAGAACTTTACAAGTCCGCTCAATACTGCTTCTGCGCTTTCGTCATGCAGTAGCCTTTATGTTGTGCGTTCGAATACGTCCTTGCCATTCACCTACTGCTTTCACATCTGAGCATAATATAAGGAGCACAGCTTTCCCATTGTTTTGCAAAAAAGCCGCATTACTTATCTTTACTTGCAGTAAGGTGTAAATCTCCATGAAGGAGACAGCCGAAAACCAACAAATCGTTCAACGTTTTTAGCTAAAGATCACCGCAGTTGCAAATCAAAAGATGGGTTAAATGAAACCCACAGCTTCTAAAATATTAGACATTCTTGGTTAAGTCTCGATAAATTGAACATTCTACTAGTAAAAAAAAATTATGTCATCTTGGTGAAAGCATTTGTCATTATGAAATTACAAAGTTCCAATTTTGATAGAACAGTGTCTTCCTTTGAAGATTTTTTCTTTAGTAGTAGTTGTGTTGAATCAATGGACCAAACTGCGATTGAAATGTCTCAGAAGAACATCTGAAGGCTGTTGTGAAGTTGTAACATGCAGTTCGTCACAGAACTTCAAACTTATTTTAGTTCTGGACCTAAAGGCTTTCGTGAGATTGCGTAGGATTCAACACTGAATCCGTGCAGATGATACCTTCTATGTAAACAATGACAGAAGTTATTTTATGACAATAACGAAAGTTTATTACAATTCGACTTACAAGTGAAGGATACTTGGTCACCGCTGCCGTTCATAATGATTTGTATATCAAAAAATGCGCCTTTCAATGTTGGTTCGAATACTGTCTTCCATATTTGCGAAACGATAACACCTGGATGGAGTTATGATTATTTTTCCATGAATAAACTGCGTTACTGCGGAGGGTCAAAATCATCAATAAAAAATTTTCTTTCCTTTTCAAATGCTGAATATGATTTAGATAGGTATAATACAAAAGTATTCCTTCTAAGATTCTCTTTAATAGCTTCAAATGGTAACTTAGAACAAATCTGGTGATTTTAGCTACACAAAAGTACGAAAATTTTCTACGAAAAGAAGTTCATAACTTTCTTCAGAAGGTCGTTTCGCAGATATCGAGCACAGATTTGGAATCAGCGTTTCGAGATGCATCTTACAGTATACATCGATTTCCAAATTGCCACGGTGGCCGAGTATCCTTTCCTTGTTAGTTAACTCTATCACCCGATTATCATCACTCGCTACTTTCGATTTCGAACAAAGTTCCTGAAATGGGCTGAAAAATTTACTGAAAATCTTCCATGCATTGTTGAATTTGAAAGTCCTCAGTTCTTAAAGCTGAATATAACGTAGGCGTACGCTGAGACTGCGTCTTGCAATGCTGATTTCAAGTCTGTGTTTCATACCTTTTGAAGTCATCTCCAAGCAGGGTTATAAGGGTTTGTTTACTGATTTCCTTGGATCATCACCAATATCTTCTCCATAGTGCTTGCGCTTTCACTTGTCTTCTGCGGCTACAGCGAGCCTTTGGTTCTTCGTGCTCCTCATCCTCGAACGGCGGTGTACAACATGGATGCAAGCGCATATAGTGACTGGATCCAGCGAACTGGCCACGTTGTCTTAGCCCTCTTCTAGAAAAATGAAGAAAATCATTATCGCGAACGGAATGCATGATTTCCGGTTTTCTCGCAAACCATTCCTGCAGTCATTCCGTCAGAACACGCTGTTTTCATAAGCCGGACTCAACCGCGATCTGAGATGTCGTGGGTTAGAATGAATCAATATAAACGAGGTACGCGGGTAGCAGATAGTAGGCTAAAAAATAGGATATTGCGTGGGCTTTATGACACAACAAAAATCCGGCTGTCTATAAAATATTGCGAATCGAACAGAACGCACAAACTTTCGAGTTTTTCTAGCGTCATTTCAGATCCTCTCTGACTTTCGTGCCGTGCCAGCGCTGCATCGAAGCTCAAGTGAAAGCACACAGTTTTGATTAATCAACGTTCCGGTACGGCGCTGACACTGCTCTGGCATGCTGGGACGGGCAACTTTGGACGTAGCGCAAGCAAGTATCCCTGAATATGTGCCAATAGTATCTGCACTATTTTTGTTGTGTATTATCTGCTCTCAAAGTACTGCGAAGGTCATGCCATAAGCATGACCAGCTGTGATATAAGTATGTTTATTGATCAGATGCTTATTATCTGTCATACACGCCACGTCTATCGTAGTCGCCATGCTACCCCTGCGAGGGACTAATTCGCCTCAGGCTACTTAAAGCCTAGAAGAACAGCCAATCTTCTTCTTCTTCTTCTTCTTCTTCTTTATCTTCGCCATTGTCCCGCGGGTGCAGGGTCGGCGGTGGTGCATTTTTGCTTCCATTTGACTCGATCAGCTGC